CCTTCCTTCCTTCCTTCCTTCCTTCCTTCCTTCCTTCCCTCCTCCTCATAAACTCCCCTCCCTTCCAGCACTGATATTGTTACCTAGTTGGGTCATGAAACGTCTGCAAGGAAGCCACCCAGCTCAGAGACCACCAAGGACCCCTCGCTGGCAACCCTGAGCTCCAAATGTTCTTCTTTGTCGGTGTGTGTGTGTTTTTTTTGAAAGTCCCGATGTTTGGCGAAGAGCTGGAATTCCGCGAGAGAGAGCGCGCTTACCTGTAGCGAGAACGTCAGCTGCAGTTCCGTTTCCACGAGGCCGCTGACGGGCAGCACGATCTCGTTGGACCTCAGGATCCGCTTGGAACCCTGCAAGAGGCAGGGGTCAGTTTGTAAGCCGAGGCGGGATCGGAGCCCCCCCCCCCAAAGGGCAGATGACAGGCAAGGTCGCGGTTGACTCGCTTAGGGCCGCCTCCCTGTGCAACCACACGACCGCAACGGGAAGGGCGGGCGGGTGGGAGGAAGGGATGGTAAGGGAGGTTTTTTTGGGTGAGGGTAATTTGGAACACAAAAGGTGCCAACTGGAAGCCCGAGACAGACAGACCGTTCTCAAAAAACAACAACAAAAAAAGATAGTGCAAGTGATTTTTCTAACATCCGTAGCCGTATCGAATCTTCGGTAAAGTTAAATATTCTCCCCCCCCACACCGATTTTTTCCCCTTTGCTCTCTAACCCAGTGGGATGGTTGAGAGGCATGGGTGTATGACCACGACCGAGTCCCAAATTTCTGTCGTTAAGTGAGACATTTGTGAAGCGAGTTTTTGCCCCCCTTTTACGGACTTTTCTTGCCACGTTTGTCAAGGGAATCACCGCAGTTGGTAAGTTAGGAACGTGGCTGTTATGCGAATCTGGCTTCCGCATTGACTCCCGCGTAAGATTGGAAGTATCTAGGCAACGTTTCGATGAAGTCTCATTCATCATCTTCAGGCTTCTGTCTTCGGCTCTGTGCTTCTCAGAGCCGAAGACACAAGCCTGAAGATGATGAATGAGACTTCATTGAAACGTTGCCTAGATACTTCCAATCTTACGCGGGAGAAAACCTGAATAACCAAAGATCCATATGTGTGTGTGTGTGTGTGTGTGTGTGTGTGTCTAAGTGCTATTGCAATTTTTTTTTCCTTCCTTCCTTCCCTCCCCACCTTCCCAGTGCTTAGAGTGCAGGGTTGCAGGTTAACTCTACCGACTGCCAGGAGTTCGATCCTGGCCGGCTCAAGGTTGACTCAAAATTCTGTCCTTCCAAGGTTGGTAAAATGAGCAGCCAGATTGTTGGGGACAATATGCTGACCCTATAAACTGCTTAGCGAGGGCTGCAAAGCACCATGGAGCAGTATGTAAGTCTAAGACCGACGGCTATTTTCCTCTTTGGACCAGATTAGTCTTAAGCAACGCAGAGTGAGTAACTTCTGTGACTCTTAAGGCCAATAAGTAGTTGCTACGTCCTCATTCCTCACTATGTGACATACCTGCAGCTTGACCGCAATCACCACCGAGCTGAGATCCTTATCCATCTCTTTCAGCATGATGAGTTTCTTCAAAGTCAGACTAAACAGCCTATACAGAGAGAGAAAAGGGGGGGTGGGGGTGATCCATCAAAAATCCAGGTAGAAAAATCTTGATCCTGATGTACAACAGAAAGAAAAATGCTCTGTAAGGTATTTGCCTAGGTCAAGGGTCTTCAAACTTGGCAAGTTTAAGACTTGTGGTCTTCAACTCCCAGAATTCCTGAACTAACATGACTGGAGGAGGAATTCTGGGAGTTGAAGTCCAGAAGTCTTAAAGCTGTCAAGTTTGAAGAGCCCTGGTCTTCAAACTATCACCTATCTATTTATCATCTCTCTCTCTCTCTCTCTCTCTCTCTCTCTGTACCTACCTATTGACCTATCTATCAATCTATCATCTATCATCTATTATGTATCACAAGGGTCTTCAAACTTTATCATCTCTCTCTCTCTCTCTGTGTACCTACCTACCTATTGACCTATCTATCAATCTATCATCTATCACAAGGGTCTTCAAACTTTATCATCTCTGTCTCTGTCTCTGTCTCTGTCTCCCTACCTACCATTGACCTATCTATCAATCTATCATCTATCTATCACAAGGGTCTTCAAACTTTATCCCCCCCCCCCTCTCTCTTCCTGAGCTAACATGACTGGAGGAGGAAGAATTCTGGGAGTTGAAGTCCACCAGTCTTAAAGCTGTCAAGTTTGAAGATCCCTGGCCTAGAGCAGTGATTCTCAACCTCAGCAACTTTAAGGCTGGTGGACTTCAACTCCCAGAATTCCCAAGCCAGCTGCCATGGTTTTACTCAGCCTAGGAAGTTAGAATCAGCACACTTGGCGTACGAAGGCAACAGAGAGGCAGACGAGCTCAATTCCACAGGCTCAATTCCACAGGCGAATAAACAGAATAACCAAGGGACTTGGAGATCTTGTCAGATCTGCGCAGGCTGAATTCAGGCAAGATAAATTCAGACAGGCTCAATTCTACAAGATAATAACAGAATAAACCGAGTTGGAAGAGGGAACCTTGGAGGTCTTCCAATCGAACCCCAATTCAGGCTAAATTCAGACAAGCTAGTAAATTCAACAGGCAGGCCGAGAAAAGCTCCGTTCAATCAAACGGAGACCTTCTTGGCTTCCAGGATGCTTAAGGAGCTCCCTTAAAAGGGTCTTTTTGGTAGACCACTCCCGATGATGAATGCTTTGTCGTTCATTTATTTGACACCGTCTCCGGATATAAAACCAATTCTTTGACACACTCTTAAAAAAAAAAGTCCATTCCTTGCCCCAAATAAAGACTATTCCCTAACAAACCGAGGTTTTAAAAATAATATCAGCCCTGCAGAAAAGCCCAATATAAACCCGCAGAAGCTCAGTTCTGGCTGCCCTTTGACTTACCCCAAAAAAGTCCTTTTTGTATTTCAGGTTTGTTTATTGTACCGAGGCGGAGGGTTATGGAACCACTCAGGCAGCGACTTTGTTTAAAACAATGTACCATATTTTATTCTGGAGCGGCCCTGCCTGGGGAATTTTATTTATTTTTATTTTTTAGCAGAAGATATCTTCATTTGGCCGCTTTGGGATACAGATGGAAAAATGAGCAATTGGAAGCGGCTGGAGTTTAACAAAAGCAACTTTATTTTTCCTCCTCCCCTTTGGCTGAAAATCTTCAAAGGGGAAAAACGGACGGTTTTGATCGTTGATAAGAATCGGGAAACAATCAATAAGCCTCTGGAGAGAAACAAATATGATTGTGCCGACAGCTATACTTTATCTGAGCACTGCAGAATTCAGCTTCAAAGAATCCTGCTATTTCTACCTAAAAGAAAGCTAGCTTCTTTCCTTCCTTCCTTTCCTTCCTTCTTTCCAGCCTTCCCTCCTTCTCTCTTTCCTTCTTTCCTGTCTTCTTTCTCTAGTTTCCTTCCTTCCTTTCCTATTCTTTTCTTTTCTTCCTTCCTTCTTTCCAGCCTTCCTTCCTTTTCCTTCTTTCAATTTTCTTCTCCCTCATTCCTGTTTTCTTCTACCAAATTCCTCCCTTCCTATTTTTCCTTCCTTCCGTATCCTCCTTCCTCCCCTCCCTTCCTTCACTATCTTCCTCTTCCTCCTTCTTTCTTTCTTTCTCTTCCTTCCTTCCTTCCTCCTTCCTTCCTTCCTTTCCTTCCTCTCTCTCTCTCTCTCTCTCTCGCACACTCTCTCTCTATCTCTCTTTCTTTCTAGAACGTATAGGGCCTTTAGCACGGCCACGCTGAGAATTCACCGGCGTTTTTCCTTTTGTGGCTCCTTAAGATACCAAATCAAACCAGGTTGTTTCTGATCAGTTTTCATTCTCGGAGAGAGAGAGAAAGGAAAATAGATTCAGTTACCTAGGAAGAGAATCTGAGCCCTAATTCTCAAGAGCGTTTCAACAAGAAATAGAACGGTGACACAAAAAAACACAGCACCCAGGAAACGGGGAGGATTATTTAAAAAGCGAAATGCAGGAAGCGTCTGAAAAAAAGAGAGAGAAGCGAACGGAGTGACTTGTTGCATGTCCTATCTTGATTGCATTGCACATCCTGGGGTGGACACAAAACTTGGCTAAGAGCCACGCCGAGTAGGTAGAGTACTGACCACTTCTAAACCCTTATCTTTATTTATCTATTTATTTATTAGACTCATACGCCGTCTGTCTCTGCTATAGTCCCTTGAAAAGCATTTCGTGCATCTCAAAATCATCTCACGACGATTTGTGAGATACTTTCGCTTGCAATGCCCCCTCTAACTTGCTGACTTTGCCGCTTCCTTTTTCGCTCTGCGCAAACCACAATTTTAGAAAGGATTACAAAAAAAGAAAAGAAAAGACACTTCTTAAACGATGAGCACAAGTTGCAAAGAGTTCTTGGCCTGGGTTGCCTAACGCCACGAAAACTGACTTCGGGCAAACCTTTTAGGAATCTTTTGTTTTAAGCCACAGATTAACTGCCACCCGGGGCGGATTGATTTACTTATCGGATTTCTTACACTGAAGTGCCTTTCGGTGGCTTGCAAGCAAGATTAAAAAAACAACAACAATATAAAAGACCTGGCAGAAAACACACTTAAAAACGAAATTAAAAACAAGGTTGAAACTTGCAAGTTGGGACGCTGATTTTTAACCCTCCCTGCGGTCTGCAATAAACAGCACTCTTTGCAAAGACCCACAAACGCGAGTTGCCTCAAATCCAGATTCTAAAAAGCAAGTCAAGTGTGGTTTTCGAATTAAAATCAAATTCAGGAATTCAGGAAAGCCAAAACTGTCCGTTTCCCACCTCTCCAGTTCTAATGCCAGAAAAGGATAAGGCCTCTGATGTAACAGGAAAGCTTATTCAGCTTCTTCACACACACGCACACACACACTACCAACAACACCACCACCACAAGCTTGGATTTGCCGCCCTCTAATTTTTCCCCGCAAAACACAAAACTGGACTCCCTGCATCGATTTCCAGAAATGCCACCTGCAAAAAAAGCATTGACATTTGCTTTAATCACACACACACACACACACACACACACACACACACACACACACAAAGACACAAACAAGCTGGAGAAAGGATGTTCCCCTTCTGTGCCATTTGGCAGCTGAACTAATAGAAGCTTGAAGATATTCTGCTATTCTATTTATGAAGAAGTTCTGTCGTTCTGAGATTTACTTTAATGCTACACACACACACACACACACACACACACACAAACAGATACACAAACACACAAACAGACTGGCGAAAAAACCTCCCTCCTCTGTTCCAAAGGGCAGCTGAGCTAACAAGAGGTTGGAAGATATTCTATTATTCTATGATTGAAGATAGCATTTTTTCTTAAATTTTCTTAATTTATTCTTAAATTTTGAGATTCGCTGTAATGCTACACACACACACACACACACACACACACACACACACACACAAAGACACAAATAGACTGGAGAAAGGATGTTCGCCTTCTGTGCAGCTTTGAAGTGTGCAGTGAAAAGCAACGAAGGAAAATCTTGATTGGGAAGACTGGAGATTTTTACACTCCTCCACTTAATTGCACTCCAATTATCTTTTTTAACTTCCAAACGCTCTTTTTTTCCTTAGTCCTTTTTGCTGGAGCGCAGCGGAGCAATTGTTTTTATTTTTATTTTAAAAGGGAGCCATTTTAACAGCTGGGCTTTTTATTCGAAGCACAATATCTCATCCAAAGTTATTTCTTCTGAGGAAGGCAGAAGAAATAACTTTGAAGCTACGAATGAATGAGGAGGAAAGGAGATTACATTTTGCACCGCGTTATAAAGAGCAGCTTGCATACTTAAGATACTTCTGTTTATTTATTTCAATAATAATAATAATGATGATGAAAATAATAATAATAATATTTGCATGGTTATGAACCAACAGAGTTAAGAACCACTTCCGTCTCCCTTACAGCAACATGTCTCAAATATTTCTGCTGGTAATAAAATAAAATATTTTTGCGGCAGCTCAGCACGGGGAGGCCTTGACATACGACCACAAATTGAGCCCCAAACATTTTGTTGTTAAGTGAGACATTGGTGAAGTGAGTTTTGCCCCGTGCCGTACGAGTTTTCTTGCCGGCGACAGAAATGTTGTTACTTAACAACGGCGGTGATCCCTGTGACAAATGGGGCAAGCCAAAAAGCCACAAAACTTCCCTAAACACATTGCTCACTCGGCAACATATATTTGGGGGTTCCATTTGTGGTCGCAACTCGAGGACCGCCCGCAGGGTGTAGATAAAAGACACAGCTCCGGAGCCCCACAGTCAGGAGGCTGTGAGTTCGATCCTTAGGTAGAGGCTAATATTTGGAACGGACTCTCCTGCTCAAGTAGAGGGCTGGATTAAATGACCTCCAGGGTCCCTTCCAATTCTGTTATTCTATGATTCAATGACACCAGCCGTTGTCGGAAGGAGAGGGAAGAAATCTGGAGTGCAACGTGCTGGAAGAAACACGATGCATCCGCTTTCCCGTCTGGCCAGCGGATGGCATCGGGCCAGTCAGGTAATGGGCTCAGCCTGACTGGCAAA